CCTGCTCCAGCCCCTCCATGGCCTTCCTGAGCTGAGGGCCCAGAGCTGGACACAGCACTCGAAGTGAGGCCTCACCAGCGCTGAGTCCAGGAGAAGAATCCCTTCCCTGCTTCTGCTGCCACACTGATCCTGATCCAGACCAGGATCCATTGGCCTTCTTGGTCATCTGGGCACACTCTGGCTCCAGTTCAGCTTTCTGACCATCCAAACTCCCAGGTCCCTTCCTGCCTGGCTGCTCTCCAGCCACTCTATCCCAGCCTGGAGCTGCCGGGGGTTGTTGTGGCCAAAGTGCAGGACTTGGCACTTGGCCTTGTTGAACCTCACCCCATTGGAATCAGCCCATGGATCCAGCCTGTCCAGGTCCCTCTGCAGAGCCCTCCTGCCTTCCAGCAGATCAACAAAGCAAGGCCTATTAAAATGTTGTCCATCAAATTGTTCTCCATCCCTCACCGTGGGAGATAACAGGCTAAGGAAGGACATGGATGGGACCACAGCAGCTGCCTTGGGTGTCACGGTGTCACAGTTATCTGAACAGTTATCCAACTGGGAATTAGCTTTGGATCCAAGGGGGGGATGGTAGACCTTGCCTTTCTGGACTAAGATTTGAAGAGTTTCAACTCTACTCTGTCATTTTATCCTCAACTAAATCACTTGTACTCCAGCTTGTTTTGTTCTTTTGTTTTCTATGAGAAAAGGATCATAAACTTCTCCCTCTTTCTTAAGATCAAGGGCTTGGAGTAACCTAGTCTATGGAAGATGTCCCTTCCCATGGCAGGGAGGTTGGAATGTTGGAATGAGAGGATCCTGAAGGTCCCTTCCAACCCAAACCATTTTATGATGTCATGATTAAATAAAAAGCCAGCAAGACCCAGTTCATGGCTGGTTTTGGCATGTCCTGTCAGCTCCCCCCTGCTCTCCTGCTCAGATGATTGGTTATTGCCTCTGGAATCAGAACCAGGAGAATTTTGGACCCCCAAAAACCTCCTCTGTTTTCTGAAACTGGAATGATGAAGAGCTGACTTCCGATTCAGATAAAAAAGAACATGTGAGAAGCATTTGGCTTCAATAAACCAATGTCTTGCAGTGAAGCACAGGTTTAAAAGCTGGAGAAGCTGATCAGGAGAGCACTGGCTAACTGGAAATTCTCTACTCATCAAGAGAAGGGTGAAGACTGGACTCAAATGGTTTTCTCTGAGGTTTCTGCCTGTGCTGACTATAGGGATCCTACAGCAAGTGATCTGAGTATGGTCTTAAATATAAATTGCATTGATTCTGGCAGAGGCCATGAGATCAGCATATGTGGGCAGTAAAGCTGTGTGTCCAGGAGCAGAATTCCCAGCATGGGTAGGAGACCCACGGTCAGACCCATTCTGGCTGCGCTGCTTTAGCTCAGTTTCCATTTCAGGTTTGATTATGGATACTGGTGTGATACCACTCCTCTGTGAGGGATTTACACCCCTCTGACTGAGCCAAAGCTTGGTAAAAGGGAAAAACTGGGAATGACTCACCATAATAAGCGGATGTCTGAGGTAATTTCATGCCTGGTTTAACTGCAGGCCATGAGGTGCCTCATGGCTTTGCTTTGCCACATAAGAGCCCAAATATGACTGATCTCCGAGTCAGACACGGGTCTGTAGTAAAATAAAACAGCTTAAACCATGTGCAAGGTGTTCCAGGGAGGTGAACCACAGGAAACCAGCTATGCCAGCCCAGCTGGCACCTGGAAACTCAGCAATGCTTTGGATGACACAGCCCTACTATGCATTTTAATGACTGACAGGCAAAGGGTACCCTGTATTATTCCAGAGCACTTCTCAGAATTCCAGAATGCCAGAATCAACTGGGTTGGAAAAGACCCCTGAGATCATCGAGTCCAACCTGTGACCCAACCCCACCTTGGAACTCAGCCCATGGCACTGAGTGCCACATCCAGGCTCTGCTTCAACACCCCCAGGGACTGTGACTCCAGCCCCTCTCTGAGCAGCCCATTCCAAGGTCTAATCACTCTCTCAGCAAAGAATTTCTTCCTAATGTCCAACCTAAACCTCCCCTGGCACAGCTCAGAGCTGTGCCCTCTTGTCCTACTGCTGGTTCCTGGGAGCAGAGCCCGACTCCTCCCCGGCTCCCCCCTCCTGTCAGGGAGTTGTAGAGAGTGAGGAGGTCTCCCCTGAGCCTCCTCCTCTCCAGGATGAACCCCCCCCCCAGCTTCCTCAGCCTCTCCTCATGGGAATTGTGCTCCAGACCCTTCCCCAGCCTCGTTGCTCTTCTCTGCACCTGCTCCAGCCCGTCCATGGCCTTCCTGAGCTGAGGGCCCAGAGCTGGACACAGCACTCGAAGTGAGGCTTCACCAGTGCCCAGTGCAGGGGCAGAATTCTTGCCCTGCTCCTGCTGCCACACTCTTCCTGATCCAGGCCAGGATCCATTGGCTTTTTTTGGCCCCCTGGGCACCCCTGGTCTTGTGTCCA